TACGGAGACCGCTGCAGAGGAGAGCGGCCCATGCGGAGACCGTTGCAGAGGAGAGCGGCCCATGCGGAGACCGCTGCAGAGGAGAGCGGCCCACGCGGAGACCGCTGCAGAGGAGAGCGGCCCTGCCAGCGTCCAGATGACTCAGGAGCGGCCTCTCCGAACAGCGGGGCGCCCCGCGAGCCGTGTGTCCGCAGGCGGCCGGTGGTGCCCCGCGCGGACGGCTGCAGGCCGGGGAACGACGGGGTCGGCAGCCGGGCCGCCGGAAGGGCGGCGAGGAGGAAGGGGCCGCCAGCGCCGCTCGGATGCTGCGCCGATAGGTGACGACGCGGCACCACGTGCGCCGCCGCGCTCAAAGTCGCCGCGGCAGGAAGCGCCGGCCGGCGGCGGCGGCGGCGCCTCTGCGCCTTATCTCCTAGGAGGCGGAGAGTGCCGCCTGCGGCCGACTGAACGCCGCTTTGCCTGAAGCCGGATTGTGCAACTTCGCGCGGCTTCTCGCGTTCGCGGAGTGCCGCCCTGCGACCCGTGACTGACCGCAATGAGCTATTGCTGGCATTGCGGAGAACTGCTGAGGTCAGGTTCTGCTTTCAGGTCGGTTACAGCAGTGTGACGTGTTACGCAGGGCCGATGCCGCTGGATCAAGGGATTGTTCAGGAGAACTACGCACGATAGCTAGTTTGTGGCAGACATGAATGCCATTCTTGAGTGGCTTTCTACTTGTTGCGCGTGGTAGAGGCAGCAAGGCAGGCACGGAACACTCAGGATCTTTTTTAAGAGTGCCGGGCCAGGTCCTAACCAAGTGAGTTGAGTGCCAATGTTGAGCTCTCATATATATATATATATATATATATATATATATATATATATATATATATAGCCCATCGCCAGGTAGCTCGAGCTCTCAAAATAGGGGGCAAGGTTACCACCTGGTTAAGCTACTGACCTGTGCTTCTCTGTTCAGACCTTCCTGTTTCACTCCCTTTGTCTTTCTTTCACTCTTCCTTCATCCTCTACCTTTTTCTTTGCAGCTAGTCCTAACTGTTTTGATAATGAAGAAGGTCGAGCTCGTATGGTTTTCCATAGGCTTTTGTGCGGTCTATTTAGCACATTATGCACGTGCCTGAAAAGTGGGTAGAACGTGTGATGGTGCACTGATGGAATGCGAGTCAGCAACACCTGGCTGGGCACAGGCTGGCTCGTTTTGATAATACCGTGGGTCGGTGTGGTTGTACCCTGTACCGCGGGTCGGTGTGGCTGTACCCTGCACCGCGGGTCGGTGTGGCTGTACCTTTTACCGCGGGTCGGTGTGGCTGTACCAGCATGGTTGCATCGCATGGTGCCGTGGCTAGCCAGCACGTCTGGACTGCGGGTCGGTGAGGCTGTACTGGAACGGCTGTTCCGCGGGCGGCTGTAGCCGGCCGGTGCGCCTGTACCGTGAGTGGGCGCCTCTGACCCGCGCACCAGCGGCACGTTATCGGCGTGCCTTAACCGCGTGACGGCGCGGCGGTGGCCGCGCTGCGGTGGGGTGGCCAGCTGGTGGGTGACGACATCCTCCACCGTGTCACGTGTGGTGCCGTCCTCCGCCGCCCTCCCCCAGAGCGAGGTCCGCCTTGTGCAAACGTGCCCGGTGCCCGCAGCCGGCCGCAATCTCGGAAACCCGATATGACCGTGCCGATTGGGATGGCTATTCGGGGAAGCCAGGAGGGCTTGTTTTGCGCTGCCTTCCCACGCTGGAAACAGCCTCTCACCTTGCGGAACACGCTGGGGCCAGGCCATTTTCCTCTAATCTTATCGCCTTCAAGGGGTGGCGTGGCACTTCAGTCGGACGCTCGGCGTGGATTCTTATCTGGGCATGGCTGTTGTTGGCGACCGGAGGTGAATGTCAGATTTTGTTTGGCTGGAATCTGCAAGGTTGCTGGCCGTTATCTCAGAACCGGCGTGTTGTTTATGCGTTTCTCTTGAATCACTCGGGCCGGCTCCACGGAAAATCGACGCGTAGATTTTTCGAATGGAAGCTGTTCCGGTGTTTCGTAGTTTTGACGCTTTGTTGGCCCATTAAAACGTGACGTGTCAAGCATTGACTCCTGTGAAGATTTTTCGTAGAACACGCGTGCGAAATAGAACTGTGAGAATGGGACAAACACTTCACTCCAGCGATGTGCCGCTTTGGTGCTCTGTTTGACAGATTTGTAGTACAAAGATTCGTACAGCAATGTTTGTGTCGGTTTTGTTTGATGGGTGCCAAGAAGCTTAGCACGAGCTGGTTATATGTTACCCACAGATTTGTCACACAGGCATCTTTGGTTTAAAGCAGGAAACACTTTTTCTCATCGCACTGCGTCACATGCATGCGACGCGGCCCCTCCGTGTGCGACCCAGCGCCTCCCATTCTGGTGCCACTGCGTCACATGCATGCGACGCGGCCCCTCCGTGTGCGACCCGACGCGGCCCCTCCGTGTGCGACCCAGCGCCTCCCATTTTGGTGCCACTGCGTCACATGCATGCGACGCGGCCCCTCCGTGTGCGACCCAGCGCCTCCCATTTTGGTGCCACTGCGTCACATGCATGCGACGCGGCCCCTCCGTGTGCGACCCAGCGCCTCCCAGTTTGGTGCCACTGCGTCGCATGCATGCGACGCGGCCCCTCCGTGTGCGACCCAGCGCCTCCCATTTTGGCTGCCACTGCGTCGCAACTCGTTGCTGGCGCCAGCGATACGAAATCGCGCCGCTGCCGTCGGGTAGCCCGTCATACTGCGACCGCTCAGTTCACGTACATGGTCGTACCTCATGGTACGTACATGGTCGTACCTCTGTAACAAGCACCAGCGAAGGCCCGAGCGCCGATGATGGCGGTGCTCTAGTGGGATGTAGCGGTCATATGTGATTTTTCAGTAACCGTCATTATCTTTTCGATGTGATGTCCCTGTAACTTTTCATTAGTTATGTGTCCTTTCGTTCCTCCATAAAGTGGCCTTTTTTGGCAGGAAATGCTCCTTTAGTTCACAGAAAGCGGCCTTGAAATGATATGTGGGCCTGTGAAAAATTGCAAAAATGCGCTGGCTGGAGGCAATATGTTTCCAGATGTACTTATGGCGATCGTGCACTCTTGCGTTGCACTCTATCCTTCTCGTTATGATGCAGGATGGTTTGGTACACATATGGTGCGTACCGAACCATCACGCCACATTAATTGCGCACCGAACCTAAACGCCACACTTCCCACGTTCAACATCAAACAACAAATGATTGAGTCACCATTTTTAGATAAAGAACGCGTTCTCTGCAGCCTTACGCCAAAATCGTTGCCCGTAGTTTTTGGCATCTGAGGGTATGTTCTGAGGATGATGCTTCCATGCCACTGCTTACTTGTTCGCTCAGCTTTGACACCAGTTCGATAAGCGCTTCGATTCGGTTTGGTTTCTAGCACCCTTACCTCAGGAGGTTTCGTCGTCTTTTTGATTAACCACTCCATAAATCCTTGAGCACCAGATACAGCGGTTATCATGAGGCTGACCTCTCATTTGCAGTGAAGTTTGGGATGAAGAATAATGAGCGACCAAAACTATCTGGCTTCGGCGGGAGAGTGATGGCAGCGGCGATTCTGAACTTGTAGCTCACCAGTGGTACTACGTCAAACAGTTTGGACCGACAGTTCATTCACCATGATGTACAGACGTATGCTTGACTTCATTCCAATAGGACTGTCTTTATTATTACTACAGCATGAGTAGTTGCTTCGGGAAGTGAATTGATGGTTTTGGTCACAGTTTGGAATCGGCTTCATTTGATTTCACCTGGGATTTGTGCTTTTGTTCCACCGCTAATAATTAAGTGTGACAAAAACGTGGCCCTCAATTAGTCAGCCTTGAAATCCTTGGAGGTCATCTAGCATCTGATCCTGTAGATCGATGCCGATGGAGTCTGATACAAAACTGAATAGATGTGCTTCCTCCAGTGCAAATAACCGCCATGTCTGGCTGCACAACAGAATATGCGTCATATCTTCGGAACCCGTATTCGTGCGCACATTTCGCTTTCAGTCAGCCTTGCCTGGAAACTTGCAATGCAAGTCCATATGTTTCGCACGCGGAAGAGCACGCCGTGTGTGGAATGCCCGGGGTCTCTGCCACCGCGTCATTTGTTCCAGCGCGAGAGCGCTGTGTTTGTGCGGTGCTTCTGCCGGGGATCAAGTTAGCCTTGCTGATTTGCTAGCATACTGCCCAAGGCACGGTCAGATGTAGGTCGTGTCGGCCGTCTGCAGTGTCAACCACGATTCACGCGGACGTAAAGCACGCGCCGACTTTGTCACCTGACGGCATTGGCGGTCTCAGCACGCTTGCCACGCCGGCTCGGCCACCGCCCGCACGTCTTCTGTCTCGCAATTCTCTCGCCCCGGATGACACTGAAAATAGTAGGTCTTTTCTCATTTGGCCAAGAAGAATAACACTCATTTGGCGACAATTACTGTCCTCCCCTGAGCCGGCGCTGGCACCTACGTATTTAATTTGGGCCAATAGCGCCCCTCTTGAGAGCCGCTTGCGGGAACCTTTATTGAGAGCGCGCTAATAATGAAATGTCACCGCGGCCGGGGAGCCGCGGCCGCTGGCGGAATAGCCGTAATTCGCTCCCCAGGGCGCCGCGTTCACAGGTGGAATGTATGATACGTGACGGCTGATTATAGCTTTACGGGACCTCCGGCGGGCACGGGCCCCGCGGGGCTCCAATTACGAGCGGGCGCGAGCTGCCGGAGGCGCCAGCGGCCCGCTGGCGCCGAGCGCGCGCGCTGCGAGCGCACCGCGGCCGCGCCAGGTCACCGTCGCCCCGCCCCCGGCCCGGCCGGCGGCCCCTCCCCGCGCGCGCGGGCCGTCACCTCCCGGCCGGCGGCGGGCGGCCCGTGTCGTGGCCTTTGTGTTACAAGTGGCCGCTGCGCCGGCGGTCGGCGGCGGCCCAGTCCTGTCGTCTTGGCTTGTTGCGTCCAGAGCGCGCTCCTCCTCGGCGGGGGACGCACGGCGCGCGCGGCCGGCTGCTTGGCGCCGCGGCCGACAGAGGGCAGCAGTGCGTGAGCGGTCCGTCCGGGCCTGGCGGCCGCAGGTGTCCGCCGTGCCATGTTCTACTCGGCCTATGACAGTCTGCTGGCGGCCGGCGGCCGGTATAGCGCGATGAGCGCCTGTCCAATGCCGCTGCCACCGCTGCCGTTCGCCAAGCTGTGGAGCCCGTGGCTGCCCGATCCACGTAAGCGAACCTCGCCGGTGGCCGGCGAGGTAGAGGCGCCCCGGCCTCTCTGTCTGTGCTTGTGTGTGCGTGCGTGTCAGTGCGTGTATCGTATCGCCTTCTAGAGCTGCATGCGTTCGTACTTGATCCACGCTTGGGAGGAGGGCTGCGTGTTTCGACACGTCGCAGCATCTCGGCTGTCTGAAACCTCGGTGACCTTATCGCCCTCCGTTCTCTGATTCACGCTGGTGTCAGTTGGTGTCGGGTGATTCACGTCGGTGTCAGCCGGCGTGTTCACCCCGTGTAATAGCAGCCAGTGGCTCGTCGGGTGCCCGGTCCCCACGGCCTGTGCTGCCGGCTATCTGATTTTAATTAGGCGCCGGCCGCGTGGCCTCCGTGCATGCGATCTGGCCGGGCTGGACGGGCCGGAGCGGCCGCGGTGTCCGGCCGTCGCCGCTGACGGCTCAATATCGCCGGACAATGGTGACCTGGACTCGATTCGGTCGCCGATGATCGCTGTACAGGTCGATCGGCCGAGCGGATGGCGCGCCATTTGGATCTTTGTACCGCCGGTCTGCGAGCCAGTGATTCGACGGCGGCCGTCGGGCCGGCCGGCCGGCGCGAGGGAGCGGGACCGGCCGGACTCAGGTGGACCGGGGACGGGCCACAGGCGAAGGGCGACGGTGACCTGTCGGCGGCGGGCATGAGTCACGCTGGGTGGGGTCGGTGGAGGTGGTCGGGACGCGGCAGACAGCTGACGGCCGGCGCTGATCCCAATCCATCGACCTGTCCGACGGGCTGCGGACGAACTGGCCGGTTGACCTGACTCATCGGTTAATTGACTTTGCCATCAATCGTCCGGTTGACCTGACGACCGATCGGTCTGCGGACCGGACGCCAATCGGTCGGACAAGCTGGCGACCAATCGCATGGATAATCTGGTGACGTATCGGTCTGATGACCTGGAGGAAAATTATTTGACAGCTTCGTATCAGACCCATCAGCGAAGTCGTGACAAATTGTCGGTGTCCTATGCTGACGAAAAGTTTGACACCCGTCCACGAGAAGAAGCGTCACAGGAGGGAATGCTTACAGGAGGTGCTCCCTCGTATGAGATAGCATGTTGTTTACGTTGCGTGCGTGATCTCCTTCAAAGCTGGTGGCCGTGGTCGCGTCCACAGTCTGGCACGCGGTTCTGTCGTCAAATTGGCATTCGCTGGCTCCGCAATTATTCAGCATGCATCGCGCTGACGGCGCTGGAGTTGATAGCGCATCATATGAGGCATCGCACTAAGAAGATTGAGACCGGAGACCTATGGAGTGAAGACCTGAGGACTATGGGCACCCGCTTTTCGCGGGGAAACTCCGCTCACCGGCGAGCAATGTCAAAGACTTCCGGCGATCATGGCCGTAATCCACGCCAGGTTCCGCGGCCCTTCCGTTTGGAGTCGGGTGTCGCACCCGCGATAATCGCGGCCTCACCTCTGGCCATTAGCGCCGCGCGTGTGCCATCCCTCGGCCGCCAGGGGTGCGACAGCCCGGGGTCGGTCGGGGGCTGGCCCTGGCCACCTGGCCGGGTCGCCGGCGGCGGCGCCTCTCCTCCGGCCTGCACCGGATGCGCCCGACAGCGGCCCGGCTTATCGCCGCTTCACATTTCAGCGTGCCACTAAATCCGCCTCTGGTAGATTTCACTCGTCGGCCCGGGCGGATCGGCCAAATTATGGACCCTCCTTAAGATGGCTGACTGATATACAGTACATGAAACAAGCTGAGCGGCGAGGCTCGAGCACGCCAGTACCAAATCATTTCTGCTTCAGAGCGGCTGCGCGCCATCGCTGATTGCCGGCGGCGGCGGCCGCGCGGCGCCGCCGCCGATTCCGATGGCGCCCCGCCGGGCCGAGCAGCGCGCCGGCGGCCCGACCTCGCCCCGACTCGTCCCGTCACGCCGCCGGCCGCTCCCTTTATGGCCCTGTTGTCTCTGCCGTTACAGCCGCGCTGCCGGCCATTATGGACTTGCATGCCGTTAGGCGGCGCTCGACGAGCTGCCGGCCTCATGCGGGGGAGGTGGCCGCCGGGGCGCCGGGCCGGCCGGCGGCGGGCCGCCGCCGCCGCCGCCGACGGAGCCGCTCATCCCGCTCCTGCCGGCTTTGTAGCCCATAAAGTACTCATTTTGATTTATACACCTTATCTGGGCGCGGCGACAATTCAGAGCGCACAGTCAGCGCGCGGTCGCTCGTGATTCGCTTCACGTGGCCTGTTCATTCGTGGCTGGACAGCGGCCAGCGGCCTCATATCCCGGCAGCCTCATCCGTCGGACGACCGTGCAATTTGCAGCCGAGATGACCGCTGATACCGTCGCCAATGCAAGCATTTGATTATGATATATAGTGTTAATAATATAAGAGCGATCTGTCGAATCGGGTGGCCGGATGGAGCCGGCATTAGCTTGGCCGGGTTTTCGTGCGGCCGGCCGGCCTGGCGCGATTGGCCGCACTCGAGCGGTGCGACGAGGCGGCCGGCGCGACAGCGGCGGGCCGACACTGTCAGCAGAAGGATGGCCCCTCGTTCCACGTCCGGACGCCGCAAATCTGCATTCGGAATGACCTTTCGGACCCGGCACCGGCGGCCGGTCAGCGCGTCTTCATTTGTCGGCCGGCGGGGCCACGGCGGCCCGGGTGGCCCGACCCGTTCGACAAACTTGTCGGTCCCTAAACTGTTCTTATCTGTGCCTGTGTCGAAGGGGAGAGAGGAATTTAAAAACGGAGTTAGGGGATTTGAGGGGTTGAATGGCTGATCATGGTTTTTTTCTTTTCATGAGTCATCTAAGAGTTGCTATTAATTTCCACGACAGACGGCAGACGTGGTCCACTCTCCCTGTTCATTCGCGACCAAAGCATGCATGGGTTCGCGGTTTAATGGAGGTTCGTTCAGAACCGTGTCTGCATTACGGTGGAAAATCACGTCCGTCTACATTATGACAGAACTAAATGTGTGTGTCTGTCAAAACAGAAGTGCTTTGTAGCATTTAAACCGGTAGGCAGTGTCTTTCGCACAGCAAAAGCTCCTTTAGGTTTGTATCATCACAACAGCGATTGCTTTGCACTAGTGATGTTAGCGTTTCCTCTGTACGGTGGAAGGGCCCGCGTATATGTTCCTTCCGTCCTGCAGGTGGCTGGTTATGTCCATACGTGTGCAACGGCAGATCTGTCTCTTACGTACCGTGATATCTCTGTTTGTGAGCGAGACCGCGGGCCGACGTGTCATCTTGTAGCTCACGGCAAGTGACGTTTTTCACAGAATTATATCTGTACAACCGCTGGTCGTATCGTCGTAAAATATTCAGCCGGACGTAGCAAAGTTTGTAAGATGTTGGGCTGCCGTATTGTGGAGGCACTTAAATGCAAGGTTTTTAATTGAACGTTGTGTATTTGCAACGTAGCAATACCACTGGTCTCTCATCTGCATATTTGATGCATGCAACATGTGGAACACAAATTTTGCAAATTGCGAAAATGCTAAGTTTTACGGGTCGAAAATGCTCCAAAAGAGGAAACAAACAATAGTGCTGGCTAAACTTTGTGCCACTGTTGCATTGCAACATGCATTAACTCAAATTATTTGTGTATTCTACAATACTTACATGGTAATGCATCTCAAAACATCATTGTAAATTGGCAGTGTGTATTCGCAACATAGCAATATCACGTAAACGTTGTGTATTTGCAACGTAACAATATCACTGATCTGTCATCCACACATTTGATACATGCAACATGAGGAACGTAAATTTTGCAAATCGCGAAAAAGTTAAGTAACACGGATCGAAAGCGGTCCAAGTATCGGTGAGGAGGTGCCCCCGGTGAGAGGAGGCTCATATTGATAGAAGAGGAAAGGAACGATAGTGCGGGCTATACTATGTGTCACCGTTGTATTGCAGCATGCATTTTCTCAAACTATGTGTGTATCCTACAATGCTATCATGGTCATGGATCCCAAAACATCTCTTCATATTTATCGCTTTCGTCACTTGAAATTATCAGGCCAGACCAGACTCCAGCCAGTCATTTTTAAGCGATGTCGTTGGTAAATTTTGGCTCGGACGTCAACGATCAGCGCACCTTTGCCTGTTAAACTCGTGAAAGGGGGATATTGAGATGCTGCTGTAAGCCCCATTTGCGTAAGCGCTCGCAGTCGACGAGTTTCCTGTACTGTCATCTAAAGATCATCCAACTGGTGAGACGAGACGAGTCAGCGAGAGACGAGACGAGACGAGACGAGTCAGCGCTCGTCTCGCCGGTCCCGCGCCGCAAAAAGCGTCTTACTGTTACAGTATGGCAATATCGCTTTGCTCTGAGTCGGCGGTATAATCGTCACAACTTCCTGTTTTGAGCGATGTCGCTTGTGAATTGGGGCACGCTACACAGTGTTATTGAAATGTTACCCGGTGCCGGCACTTGATGTCCCAAACCCCGATTTCAGCAGTCCTCATCCCCAACGCCATCGCTGTGTCTGTCGTTTGTAGCGTTCATCATCACCGCTAGTTATGTGCGCCGAATAACCAAGCAGTTGTGGGGCCCTAGGCCCACATCAGCAAACACCGTTCGGACGCCGCCATCGACGTGCGCCTGCCTGCCCGCCGCAGCTGTCATCCTCTGACGGGGTGTGCGTCTGTCCGTTGCAGTGGCGGCGCTGACGCTGAAGGGCGGCCTGGCCGGCTCCACCGGGCTGGGGGCGCCGGCGCTGGCCTCGCCCATCGGCCACATGTGCCAGACGTGCGGCATGACCTTCCCCTCCAATGAGAAGCTTGAGGTGCACGAGGTGGGCCACGGTCCCCCCACGCAGGTGGTAAGTCCCCCCGCCTCCCACCCGCTGGTCCGTGTGTTCCCGGGACGGGCGTGAGTCGCGGCGGCGTCCCGCCGGCGCCGCGCGGGTCGCCGGCCGGAGCCTGGCCAGATGTGGGAGCGCGGCGAGGAGCCACCTGCGGCGCCGGCCCACGGCTCGTATTGCCGTGAGAGTCGACCCGAATCATCTGAGATCGGCGCCGCAGACAGCACCTTGTGTCATCTGGCAGCAGGGGGGGGGGGGGGGCTGCGGCTGCGGGCCGTCGCGTCCCGCGGCGTCTGTCGGCCGGGGACGGGCGCGCGGGGACGGCTGTAATTGGGGGCGGGCGCGGCCGGATCCGCCGGCACCAGGCGAATTAATGACCTGGTGGCCGGCGAGGTGTCGATTCCGCCGCCACGAGAGCGCGCGCCGGACAGCGACACGGCCCATGACGGATGTCAGATTCACAATTACATGGGTCCTTCACACCGTTATGCCAGAGCGAAGGGAAATTGGCAGCCGGAGTTAGTGGGCAGTGCTTAGTGGTGACCTGGTCCCGCTCGTAGCATTGAACACGCCCGCCGGCGCTTTTATGGGGCTTCCCCGCCACTGAGCGTGGAGAGCATCTCATCAGGGCTGCTTCATAATAGTCAAGCACACTATCAGCAATGGAGTTCTGGTGGCACTGGGAAAAGACCGAATAAGTTCTGGCTTAGTCCGGTTTGTGGGTACTGGAGAAATGAGAGCGCAAAACGGCCCAGGCAGCCGAAGCGCACTCTAATGTCAATCGTCATCATCGGACAGCGGGCAAACGGATAGACAGTGTGAGGACCCTGATGGATGTGTTAGCACACATTTGAATAGGCTTTGCTGCTGTTAACGTGTGGGAGGACACAACTTTTGTTTTGGTACAATAGGTGCAGCAACAGCACATATTTCTCTTTTCATCGCTTATCGTCGATCACCTCGCGTAAATTCGTAGCGGCTTTTGCGAAGGATGATGACCGCTGCTGTGTCTCAGTTAAAGTGGTGAACGCAGACAGATAAAGTCTGAAGTAACCAAACGTCCGAGAGTTTATTTTCCCTCATAGTTTTTTTCTTATACATGCACGATGTTCATGTATGTTTTTGAAATTCGCGGACAATGCAGTACGCGCCTAGGAAGTAAAGCTCCTGTCTACTTGCGCAACAGCGATTCAAAATATGTTGTGTCTTCATGATTGCAGGTCATGTCCTTATTTCCTGTCAACAAAATTGTAAAGGTGTATGCCAATATCTGACGTTCATTGACCACCTCATTCCCTACATGATGCTTTTTATTATCTTGGCCGACAAGCATTATCAAAGAGTCGTTGATCGATGCCCAGTCGGAACGAAAGCGACCCCCAGGCTGCGATTTTTCACCGCAGCCGTCATTCCGGCCCTGCTACGTCTATGACTTCTCCGACCCATCCGGGCCACCTTTGTCAGCCGGGCTGCCGGCCGATTTTCCGCTGGCGTCGGCCTCAGGTCGGTCGTGCCCCCGGGAGCGTTTTTCGATGACACCGTGCTCGTTTCGAGGCGCCTTGCTTCTTTTTACGGGCCACATTTAGACGCTGTCCTGCCAGGAAGACGTTTTTGTGGCGAATAAAAAGCGTTTTGAGCTGGCTAGCTGTGTTCAGGTGAGACGGACGGTGTCGACGGCGCGCCGTTCATTCCCCCCTCCCCCCATGGGCGGCGAAAAAAACTGCTCCTGACCAGCTGATGGGCAGAGTCGACTGCCTGCTGCCAGCTCGCCAAAGAACCGGAACAATGTTGCCACAAAAACGGTGACTGATTTTCAATCTATTTCTCAGCCACCGGCGTGCCAGTGGTCCTTTGTCTGAGGGGGTCATTGTCAGTTTGTTTTGGCGCTTGCCAGAACCGGCTACCTCTCGACCTGTTCACAAGACAGATGGTGCTGTTGTACTCGGCAACTCCGCGCAGCGGGTCTCGCCTGGACCGGTAGCCTTCGATGCCTCGCGCCCTGTGCGGACTGAACTCAAGCGGCTTCTTTGGCTTTGCGTGCATCAACTCTGAATGCAGTACTTTGACCGGCGAGCAAGGCAATGCAACTTATATTTGCAATGTCCTTCAAGTATGAACAATGTTAGCTGCTGGCTTTCGTGGTGACGGGGCTTGTGCCTGATTTTACTTCACCTGACTATTGTGCTAGATTCGTCTATCAGTCCGTTTTGGACTAGACGCGGAAGCGGCACACCTGGCATGCCCCACCCCTGTGCGTGGCAGCGAGCGAGTGGACTGGTATTTGAGTCGGCTGCGGAGCGGCGCGACACCGGCAGCTGCGTGGCGTCTCTGCACCCCGCCCTCGTTTTATCGCCAAGGTGCGCTCCTGCCGGCGATGCACCGCCGTATATTTATCTAGCATGGGCGGGAGCACTGAAAGATGAAACCCAACCTCAATGAGAAACCGCGCTGTGAAAATAAACGGGCGAGTCGGCGGCTGGCGCGGCCTGTGACTAATTGCCCTCAGACCGCGGCGCCGCCGGTGTCGACGCGTTCCGAAGGTAAGATACGTGGGAACGGCGCTTCGCCGCGGTCGGCGCGCCTCCCCGGCAGCTTCCAAACTGCGGCAGCGGCGGCCGCCGTCGCCGCCGCCGCCGCCGCGGTGTCGGCGTTTTCGGGAAGTCCCGCTGCCAGCTCGGCACGTCGCGTCTTGTATGCGTTATCAGCGCCGCGGCCGCCGCCTTTGTGCCGATACTAGACGGAGGCGGCGTGCAAACAGAAGCGGTACGGCTCGCTCACCGGTGAAGCCAGACCGACGCGGCCAAACTGCTGCGCTGGCGTTTCTCCGCCCGAGGCGCGGCTCAAAGCCATTGAAGTCGACCGCTTTGGGCTCTGGAGTGCCAGAGAGACCGTGAAGTGCCATATCTGCTCGGATTTATGGGGTGTTTTAATGTTTCTTCGGCATGACTGAACTGCTCTTTGGTCCTATCGCTTATAATGCGTGGCCAATGAACGCAGGTCGATGATGAACACAGAGTTTTATGGCTCTGGCGACGCAGAGCGTTGAAAGTCGGTTCGCGAAGTGACGATACGCGCGTCGGGCGCGTCTGAATTTCACTTGCCTCCTGTTTAGCGACGTTTCTCTGCGGAAATTTGGTAGGCGGCATGTTGGGATGGCTTTGGCATCAAACTCCATCCGAATGACCTGTTTCATGACATGGAACCAGGAGGCTACGTCCTGCGTGCCACCCTGACCCTCTCAAGCCAAATGACAGCTGGCCACCTTTGACAAGCCAAAAATTCAGCGTTATTCTGGGGCGTGAGTTCGCGCAATCCGCCATCACAGTGGTCGGGTGTCAACGCTCGGTCGCCCGAGTCACGGGGACGGCCATTAGCGCGTCCATTGCGTGGAGCGTCTTGCGTCAGGAGATTCGTGTTGAAGAACACCGCTTGTTGACGAACACTGCTTGTTGCGTCTGCAACGGGGATCTAAAGTTATAACATCTGTCGTCGGAGGGCGGATCACCAGCTACACCGTCGTGTACGGCAGACATTCGACGCATTTAACTGGGGCCGGACTTGTGGTGCCATGGGGTGCCACCTCCCAGTCGCTATTTACCCTTCGATGATGTTTTACCGTTGAGTTCATCATTGCATGAGCTCTTCGATTGAGTGGGGAAGAGGCTGACGTTCCGGCGACGTGATTTTTGGTACATATTTGACATACAAAGAACACATCTTTTGGAACTGGTCGAAGGATAAGCGTATATTTTGCTATTGGTCGCTTTTATGAGGCTTTATGCCGTTTCCAGATGAACACGTTCATTGCGTATGTCACGGCAATGCCTTTGAGCAACTTGCTGAGAGCTAAACACTCAGTGGTTCCTTGTTATTATTTGGCTTGCGATGCAAGCCCGAGAGTTACCTCAATTGCTTGATTTCGGACCCTAATTCGCGGCTCCCAATGCATCGCGTATTGCAGTAATAAACCACTGAAGCCCCTCGTAAAGCTGGCGCGGACACGGCGTGATATATGTAACCAGTCACTGACTTAAGCCTTACCATGAAAGCAAGAGTCGCTTATAAAGCCGTGAATTTCTAGAGGTCAAGGGCTGCAGTGCCGCGGAGAGCCATTTTCACTACCATGCTCCTCTGTCCCGTCGCGCGTACACCCCCACATGCTGACGCTCTCAACGCTTCATTCGGAAAGACGGGAGAAGCAGATCCAATCATCCTGTGTTTGAAGGGAGCTACGGGCAACATCCCCAGACTCCGCTCGTGGGCTGCGGCCAAACCGAACACGCGATGGATGCCAGGGCGGTCGTGTTCCGGCCCAGTATTGCGCTAAACCGTTACATGGAACTGTCTTCTTCCAATCCGCCCGCGGAACTAGGTCCCACACTAACCTTCGAGCGTCGCTGGCCAGCTGTCTGACGTCCTTCGCTTTCCGTTGACAGTCCTGTCACGTGTGCAACAAGACGTTCGCCCACATCTACGGCCTGCAGCGACACATGATCAGTCACGAGGAGTCGGCAAACGTGCGCAAGTTCAAATGCGACATTTGCAGCAAGGCTTTCAAGTTTAAACACCACCTGAAGGTGAGCCTAGGTGCCGGGCTGGCGCGCCGCCGCCGCATACCAACCAGCCGAGCCCAGTGTCCGGGCCCGCAGGTCGGCCTCTGTGCCCGCCGTACGTCTGGGTTGTGCGCTGTCGCCCGTCTGCCTGTCTGTCTCCCGCGGGCGAGGCTGGCCAGCCGGGCTGCGGCGCCCGTGGGAGCTGTGTTTGGCGATGTGTCTTTTGTCTTGTCCTTTTAAGACAAAAGACATGGCCGTGCGCGTTCTTCAACTATTTGCCGTTTGGCGTGGGGCTGGGCGCCTGTGATCATGCCATGGTTATGAATATTGCGACTGACGTAAATGAGCGCCACCTTGGGGACAGGTGCTGACGTCCGGACGCTGACCTCGTATGGTTGAGGCTTTGCACATATTCACCGCGCACTCCTCTTCTGCCTCTGTTTTGCGGCGCTCATTTTTATTTCTGATCGAAGTAGCTGGGTTGTTGTCTTCCGTTCCCTTTCCTTTCAGGTCAAGAGCGCCCATCCACATGCCCATGTTTTTCGAGGGAAAGCTGGATACGTACTAGCCCACTCCAGAAAACACACATATGGCTATGATACGCTAGAAGTATTGGAAGGCAATCTATCTTCGTTGAGCCTTTTTATGCGCCTGGTAGGCTTTTGTTCTTTTGTGCACCTGATAAAGTTTTGGCATTCGCATAAATTTATGTGCGTTGTTTGTGAATATGCATGTGGTGAGTAAAATGACTGATTATGCCAAAAATAAGTCGTCATGTTCGACTAGCGCACGCGACTGCTGCCTCTGACGCATCCGTCTGCTCCCGATCCAGGAGCACACCCGGATACACAGCGGCGAGAAGCCGTACGTCTGCACCGACTGCGGCAACCGGTTCTCTCACTCGGGCTCGTACTCGTCCCACCGCTCGTCCAAGAAGTGTCGCGGCCGCACCCTGCAGCAGAGCCAGGCCAAGGGCTCGCCGGCGCTGCGGTTCGAGCTACCGTTCCCGCTGTACACTGGCGGCCAGCCGGGCCAGGTGGCGGTGAGCGCCGCCGGCCTGCCGCCGCCGCCGGCGCCGCCGGCCGCCGGCCCGCCGCCCGAGCCGGTCGCCGCGCAGAAGCTCAGCGACGACGAGCTGCAGCGCAGCGTGCAGCAGATGGTCGACTCGGTGAAGAGCGGATGGCTGGCGAGGCGCTCCGCGAGCGGCCGGCGCCGACCAGCCGGCCCGGCTCAGCGGCGCCGACCCCGCCGCCGGCGCTGCCCGCCGCCGCGCCGCCGCCGGCCGCCGCTCCGACCGCGGCGCCGACCACGCAGCCGGCCGCGCCGCCGGACAGCCGCGCCGATGACTGGCTGCAGTGCGGCTGCTGCTCGCGCAGCTTCGCCGAGCGGCGCGAGCTGGCGCGGCACGAGCAGCTGTGCCGCGCGGCCGTGCCCGAGGGCGAGCGGCTCAGCGAGGGGCTGGCCGCGCGACTCAGCGAACTCATGGCCAAACAGCAGAAGACCACCGGCCCCGGCCCGGAGGAGACCAGCGACAACGAGTCGTCGCAGCACAGCGACGATGGCCAGAAGCAGCGCGTGCGCTACAAGTTCTCGGACGAGCAGCTGCTCGTGCTGCGGACAAGCTACATCATGAACTCGAAGCCGCGCCGCGAGGACGTCAACCGCATCTCGGAGCGACTGGGCATCTCGCCGGAGGTGGTGCGCGTCTGGTTCCAGAACACGCGCGCCCGCGACAAGCGTGAGGGTAAGCCGTTCGCGCTGCCGTGCTTCCCGGCGGGCCTGGTGCGGCCGACGGCCGAGCGGCCGCCGCTGCCGCCCGTCTACTCGGCCGTGCCTATGTTCTACTCGCCGCTACCTCACCTGCCGTCCCTGCTGGCGCCGCCCACGCCGCCCGAGCAGTACGACCAGCCGCTGGACCTGTCCACCAAGCGGTCGCCGGCCGGCAGTGCGTCGCCGCCGCCCGTCAGCGACGCCTCGTCGCGGGCCTCGACGCCGGTGGCGCCGCCTGACGAGCGGCCACCGCACCACGAGCCGCCAGGCGGCGCGCCGCTCTACCTGCGTGACGAACGTTCCTGCTCGCCGCGCTCGCCGGCGCCGCGTCCGCTCGGCGCCGCCGACACGCCGCCGCCGCCGCCCGGCGCTGTGACGTCCGAGGGCGGCCCGATGACGTCAGCGGTACAGCAGCTGCTGCGCGCCGCCGAGCAGGAGATATACGCGGAGACGAGGAAGCGCCAGGTGAGTGCTGTGGTGGTTTGCGGGATTGCGCGGTCTGTTCTGGTGCCGACCTGCCCGCTGCGAGTACCAGTAAGGTGTGAATATCTCTATAAGCAGCCGTTTTGCAGGAATCGGTCGAGTCTGCTCCGTAAGCAACCTATTTTGACGTTCACGTAAATCGCAAGGGTCGCTCGCCTCCCACCGCCAGTCCGCGCACGAGTGGCACTACCTGCGAGCAGCCACACGCGCTTTTAACGACTGCCGCGTGTCGTGCCGCTCGGCGCGTAGCAGCCCGCGCGGCGTGTCAGTGTCGACCCGCCGGTGACGGTTCGCTGCGTCTGTGCGTCCGCAGCAGGCCGAGCTGAGCGGATCGGGAGACGACTCGTCCAGCGAGACGGGCAAGAAGCGGCGGCTGGCGCGGCCCGGCGAGGACCTCTTCCAGTGCGACCAGTGCGACAAAGCCTTCAACAAGCAGAGCTCGCTCGCCAGGCACAAATACGAACATTCCGGTGAGTCAGCGACCTCTGCCGCCGCTCCGCAGAGGCCAGCTGATCCGCGCAGCAGCCCGGACTGGGCAGGCTCAACTGTTGGTCGCCAGAGGTCTTGATTGGCTGACTGCCGCCAGAGTTGTTCCGCATACGCGCAGTGGTGTGAGCTTATTCACCGAAGGCTGCTGGGAAACCGAAGATGGGCAGGCCGTTGGAGTGATGGTGGTGGTAGCGGAACCGCAGGCCCCGTAACGGTCGCTTGCCGCCACCTTACTGCAACTAGAGCGCAGTTTTTTCGGACGTCACGTCCAGAGTCGCACGCTATGCGACTTTTTAGGGGATTCTTCGAACATCGTCGGGTTTGGTAAAGTGATCCAGTTCCTTCGCGCTATAGATTTTCCTGTAATCTTCTCATCATGATGCTAGGGCCGATCATCATGGCTCTATAGGGTGACCTGATTGATGCACTTCTCTGATTGACGGCTCTGCATGAATCGATAGTTATGGCGCTGCATGACCTCTAGCAGTCGATGCGCCCTAAAACTCCAAATCATCATCATCAACGTGGACATACGTACGCCCGCAGAATGCTCACCTCTCGCCCTGTCTGTGGTCCGCAGGCATGAGGCCGTACAAATGCGAGGACTGTCCGAAAGCCTTCAAGCACAAGCACCACCTGTCGGAGCACAAACGTCTCCACAGCGGCGAGAAACCATACCAGTGCAAGAAATGCCTCAGCGCTTCTCCCACTCGGGCTCCTACAGTCAGCACATTAATCACCGGTACGCCTACTGTAAACCGTACCGGGAGTAGACCAAATCAGCTGAGCCCGGCGCGTGCGGAAGCCATCAGCTGGTGGCGGACCGGCGCGCCGGCTCTCTATGTATTCCATAATGATAGCGCCAACTCGTCGACATGCGATGGTTTTATCGAAATTACAACGACATAATAATTGTTACGATGCAATAAGGTTTCACCGTGCGTCTCCGATTACTGTCTTACACAGATGTGGACTGTGATGGATGAGGAGAAAGATATTACCCCTCATCCGTGCCAAAACTCCATAGCGTATTATTTTTTGACGGTCGGTTCTATTATGTCTTAGGCAGTATGTCGTTAGAAATGTGTAAATTTTATGTAGAATAGACATATAGTCTGTGAGCTCTTCAGCTGTGCCAAATGACATAGAACATAGCTTTAGTCTAGTAGCGATGTCGCAAGAACAGTGTACTACTGTTTCAGACAATCTGTTTCCAGTGTCGGTCGTGTCTTACGCGAGTGCATTTGTCCGTGTGCATGAGCGGTCACGAACGAGAGGTGGAGCAGGTCACGTGGGCGAGTACCTGGTAAAATACTCATGTGCGGGCGTGTTCGGGGTCTGCCCCGTCGGAGCCTGTCCAGTTTGTTCTTCATTACCGCTAGTCATTGTGGTGCCAGGCTTCGTTTCGTGCTCTCCAGCGCACACTTGTGCGCGTGCCGCGTGTAGAAATTTATCGTGACTCAGGTGGCCATAGCCACGTCCTTGGTTCGGCTTCCGTTGCGGTTATCCGTTTGCCGTGGCCTGACCGTGCCTTGCCTCGGGCGACGGCCGCGGCGCAGTCGCCTGTACATACTCCGCGGCCATGCAGCACACAACGCGTACCGTAGTGCGGGGGGCGGCCGCTAGGGGCGCCGGCGTCGCGCCCGGCGCCCGCCAGCGCGCCGACTGTGAATAGCGCGTGGGTGAACGATAGTGCTTCCATACGGTGTCGAGCAGGGACAGGACGCCATGTGCCAACGATAGCCGTGCCAGTAGATGTCTCAGTCGGTCGGTCGGTGTGACTAGCAGACCTCAGCGTAGGGTGCAGCAATGTCTCGTCGTCAGTGGCGGCCGGGCGGCGCCGGCCTGCCATCGTACAACTGCAACACATGCATTCCATTTACGGTGGCGCGCCACTCAATAAGTTTATTTTCGTACTGGCCAAATTTACTGGAAGGCGTTGCCTAGTTTGTCTTTCAGTCGCCGCCATTCCTCCAACAGCCGTGCAAGCTTCCGAAATCGCTGCCGTGTGTGCCAAAATCCTCGGTAAATTCGCGCCGACTCGCCGCATCGGATAATCTCGAGCTTCCAGACGTTTCGTCTTCGGTGTCGTAGCTCTAGCCACGGCCGGCGAGGCCACCGCCGCCGCAAGGTTCTCACAACGAACTTGTACATTTGATAATTGAACGGTGCCATTAAATGAGTTGTGTCGGTAGCGTGCGAGCGGGTAAGTGCGAAGCTAAGTGTCGTGTGCATAATGAGTCTTCTGTGTGTAGCAATACGCGCTCGGTGCGGGCGCCCCCGCCACTGGGCGACTCCATCCGGCCCCACTTCCCCTCTGTACAGTCGATGTCCTCCCACCTCTCACTAGATCCTCTAGCTCTTCGTCGCCGTTGTGCAATAATCCCGTGTCCTCTCTCTGACTCCCTCTCTCTCCTCTGTCTCTCTGTCTCCGTCTGCGCCGCTCCGCCCGCGCCGCCCGGCTGCTCTCGGCGCTCACCTGCTGTAGTCGTCTCGGTACTCAATAAAACGGCATGACACACGGAGCCTCTCCGCTGCCGCCGCACACTCGGCCGCTAAGACACTTCACATGTATTGATTCCGGTCACGCTGCGGGCCGCCGCGGTCGGCACCCGTACAAAACGCGAGCGGCGCTAGAGGGGCGGCGAGCAGCGGCGGCGGCGCGGCCCGCCCCCGCCTGGAAAGACTGTCTGGCCGTGGCGGCGTGGTCCCGGCCGTCGGCCGTCCGCCGACGCCGACCGGCGGCGCTACGTCATCATGGCCGAGTCGCCGAAGCCGGGGCCGGCCGGGCCGCCCTGGCCCGTCGGGCTCCTCGACGGGTCGTTCACGTCCCGCCGGAAGGTGGTCAGGTTCTGCGTGAACCTGCAGGCGACCGGCGGGCGCGGTGTCACAGGCCGGCGCAAAGCATGGCGATATGCGGCCAGCCAGCCGGCCTGCATCCATGCATGCATAATACGCAGTTCCAAGCCAGGCTCATGATTGGCAACAAGTGGTTCGCGCTAAAAAACTGGACATTGCACTTCAGCTCTGACGCTCATGACATCCAGCTGCAACCCACGATACGCGCAGCTACAAAAGAAGAAGTCCACCAAGCATCATCAGGACCACCGCTAGAGCAGGCGTTAGTGACCTAGGCCCCAGCGCACCGCCCGCCAGCTGGGAGCCGGCCTCCTCACCTGTCCCGGTTTTTGGTGAGCAGGTTGCGCTCGATGCCGTCCATCAGCGAATCGAAGGCGGCCCGGATCGCCGTCTGGCGGTCCGGAGGGTAGCTCGCGATCATCTGCTCCCGTAAGCTGGCGAAGTACTGCGGCCCACGGCACCAGACGCCACCGGTCACGCGTCGGCGACCACCCGGCGCCACAGTCACACGCTCAGCCGCCTGCCCGACTGCTGTCACGCGGTCCGGGGCACAGCGGCACGACACGCGCTCAGGACGACAGCAGGCTCTGCGGCGCCGGCACCGGCCCGGCCTCGGCGGTGCCGTTTCGGCCCTTCAGTTTGCCTCCACAGCACGGCCACCGGCCGACAAGCAGCAGCACAAGCGGCTGGCACTGCGGCCCGAGCCCTGCCTAAACGTCCCCTGACGCGGCGGTGGTTCAGACCTAGCCAGACCGGGCTAGCCCCTGCCGCACCCACCTCCTCGTTCAGCAGGATGAGGCCCAGCAGCGGTCGCGACATGGACCACTGGTTGCGGCAGTCCTCGTACATGATAATGTTGAGCACGGTGGCCAGCAGCCGCTGCAAGATCTCCGGGTGCAACTCCAGAATCTGCAGGATGGCCTGGCCGCTGGCGTTGTGCGCAGACTTCTTCTTGCCTGCACGGCCGGCCGGCCGGTCGAGCCACGTTAGCCACAATACCCCATAACGCGGGACCGGCCCGCACACATAGCTTCTGGCAAGGCTTATGATACGCAACCACCTACGATTGCCGTTTTTGAATACACTGCTGCAATCAAGTTCCTTGTGCTGTTTAGGTTTGACCTGGCCACTGCCGCCATCACCTACTGGCATCACGTGCGTGAACAACACAAACATAACAGATATTATCAATAGGTCTTAGAGAAGCTCCAAACCGGCACTTGCTCGGAATGTGTGACGCCAAAGTTGTTCCACATGCTTAACTTAACCTTCAATCACAACAGTGAAAATGATTTGACGTTTGTGACCCACCGCCGCCCACAAACGCCAGCCCAACAGCCGGGCGGGGCCGGGCCGGGTCATCTCCCTCAGCCGTCGTCGCAGCGCCGGAAATGATCAGGCGCAGAAGCCGCTCCGGTTGATGGCCATATTGATGGAATGTGCCAATTTCCCAAGGACAGCCGTCATTTCCGACCGGGGTCGACGCCAGTCATGACGGCACGGGAATCACACCGCAGCGACGCCGGGCGGCTCTCAATCCGCCGCCGGCCGCTGACCTGGCTGCGCACTCTCCGACTGTCGGGTGTGAGCCCGGCCGCCCGAGCCTCGGCCGCCAGCTCAGCGACCTCGGCCACGGAGGGGACCACGCGACCCGACTGGCCCGGCAGCAGCCACTGGCACAACCCACCTTTGAGAGCCAGCTGTTTGAACGTGAAGGTGACTATATGGTCGAGCGTGGCGCAGCAGCCGGTGCACACCATCGTGTCTGAGGACGCGGCAGCGGACGGGGTGGTCAGCCGGCGGAGGCGCCGTCAGCGCTGGGTGGACCGGCCGCGCCGGCACCACAAACACCCGTACACACTGCACTACCCTGCACTACACCGGCACGGCGCGCAACACCGGTTAGCACATCAAGGCTGGTGAAAAACGACAGCAATGTCTCGTTTTGCACACCCAAATGGCCAAGCCATACAGTACAGGCACGGAATGTTTGGCATCTGCCTTCAAATACCACCAAATACAGAGGCCGTTTCATGAATACGTTGCAGTGCACGTTCTATTGTTCTGTGCATTTCATTTTCACCTCAAACTGGCAACCATGGGTCAAATTACCCCCTTCTCGCATGTTTCTGATGGGAGATAAACTCGACTGTTTCATGTTACCCTGCTGTCTTGTGACCAATACACTACTGACCTGTAAACGAGGCCTTGGCAAGTCGGGAGAGGGCAAAGAGGCGGGAGGGGCTAGTGCTTCACAAAGTCCGGTGTTATGCCTTCCCTCCCCCTCCCGGCACCAGCAACAACCTCGTGGACAGCTTGGCACCTCACATAACCAGCGTTATCCTCTCATGGGTACCGGTTGACCGTGACCAGTGGGCTGTCTGGCGTCGGGTTGTGTTTGACGTTGTCCCCAGCCAGGTGCCCGCATGTCACCTCATAACCCGGTCGTCACCGTCGCCACACACTGGTGGATTCAGCGCCAGCGGCTTCTCCGTCAGGAGTCAGGCCCCGATGAATCTGAATCACCGCAACCTTCATCTCCAACCATAGTCAGACGATTTTGTCACGTCTTATTTCTATTATCGATATAGCGATATATATATATATATATATATATATATAAATCAATTTGGCGATTTTGTGGTTCAAGAACAGAGCAACTTCTCGTTGGGACATACCGACATTGGAACATAGAATAAATTAAATATTTCTATAAGAATGCCTTCGCGGATTATCCGTAGAAGCAAGTGTTTGACCAGACTTCAATTTCACCATCTGCCGTCGAGGTAATCAACCGGTTTCCGAGGTCGACGCCGTCATACTGTCAACACACGATTAAATTCCTGCACCTAAGAGTCAAGGAGCAGTAAGATGCAGCGACAATAAGGACGCTCGTAATAAGGTTTTAACAATACACGTTACCACAACGCTACGAGTTAAAACAATCATTACAAAACTATGTCGGCCAAAAGGCGAATGCTTCGCATCTACCAACAAGCCATGCACTTTCCTCCCAGCATCCGAACTCACGTCATGAAGGCGCGCCGCAACACCACCTGGCGCCCAGAAGGTCGTCCGAATCTCAGCCATATTGCCCGCCTCTGACACGGAGCCTGAGCTCCTCCACGTCGGCCGTGGCCACGCCAACACCGACCCCAGCTGGGAGGGTGCCGGCACAGCTGGGGCTGCCGGGGTCCCGAGTCCGAGCCGTTCGCCGCCCGAGTCAGGCGCCACGGTCCACCTGAGCAGGACAGCACCAGCGCAGCCGCACCACCGTCGGCCGGGAATGCGTCCCGGCCGGTCCGGTGGCACGGACACCGGACCGGCAGGGGCTGCCCCGGCTCCGGCTGGGGCAGCAGGGCTGGCGCGCACAGGGCCGCCGGCGGTGGCCAGCCGAGGGAGCTCACACGACCGGTACGTTGCCGGGCTTCATGAGCCGCTGCCAGAAACCAACTGGCAGGGCCGGACATGCAGGGTGGCCAAGCCATTGGCTGGAGCAGGGCAGGGGGTAGGTCGGGGCTGATGCCGCACGTGAGCCACACCGATGAGACCATCGTTGCGCTTCTTAACGGGACAATGTCGCGCGAGTCCCACACGATGCTATTGTCGAGAAATACGCCAAGATTTTGTCATGAGCGACGCCGCGAATAGAGGGACTCGAGACCGGCGCACCTGAGGCTGGGACGGGTCAGACGGGCTCGCTGGCCTCGGCACCCTGCCAGAGCCGGCGCTGGGTAGCAGCGGGGCAGAGACGAGCGGGCGGTCTGCGCCGCGGCCGCCGCAGTAGACGCCACCCACTGCGGCGGGAGCCCCGCCACAGACGGCGCCCACAGACAGCTCAGCACCCGGGCCAGCAGACGCCGGGCCGCTGGCAGCTGACCACCGCAGCCCACTCGCTGGAGCACTACCGCCTAGTGCCGACACTAGACTGCACGGCCTCGGCAAGCAAACACTCCACAGAGGGTGGCATGCAGCTGACGGCACGGCGCCTCTAGTTCGGGGCGAGAGCCGAGCGGCACCACGTCAGACTCCGCTCCCACCGGGCCCCAGTCGACACCGCTTACCGAGCACCGGTCCCACCTTGCCGAACTTGGTGAGCGGGCCCGGCCGCTGGCTCGTATCTGCAACACGGCGGAGCGGCCAGCCAGTCGACTCGGGGACGGGCAGCGGCGGTGGGCGCCGGCCGCTCCGGCGTCCACACCGGCCCGGTGCGGCCGAGGGGGGGGGGGGGGCAGCAGCCGGCCTGGGCCCAGCTGCGGGAGGACACCGGTGGACCCAGCCGGGACGCCGGCTCACGACGACGGGAGCCGGGACCGGCGGCCTCCGAGAAGGCAGATCAGTGAGGCGACGGCAGCTCTTCACGCAGGTATGGCTGACGTGGCGACCAGGGGAGGTGGCCTCCAATATTCCCCACTCGGCCCGTTCTCTTCCATATCTTTGGCGACTACCTATCCCTCCAGGTTCCAACAGCGTACGTCGTACCGTGCGCAGACGATTCACAAATTAGAGCATCCGATAGAAAGACTACCTTCTTCAGTTGAACGCCGCTAGGGAGCCAGCTGCTATTTCTGTGTATGCCTGGTTTCACTCACAAGGTCTAAAACCAGCACTAGCAAAACTGAAATATTCATTTCTGACTGAATTGTCGGAGCATGGTTTCTACCCGCGTTCAATTTCGCAAGGATGTAGCGAGGCAGCCGCAAAGTGAACAAAAAGGTTGCCTCGCTTTTTTTCTTTTTTTTCCTTCTTCGTGTTTCGTGATTATTCGTGCTTCCCGGTCACAATGTCACGTGGAACACGCCTGTCTGTGCCCAGGCCGAAAAGGTGCAAAGGAATCGTCATCGGCCTGGTTCACACGCGACATCAGCTCCCATTCGGCGGCCCACCGGCCACCAACTGCAGGAACTGCACTACTTCTTTAGCCAAAAAATTTGCAGAGGCGGAGCACCGCAGCCGGTCACCTAACGCCAGCCCAGTTTCGGGCTGCGACTTCGCTTCCCTCGCCAAGCCACTGATCCAGCCTCCAGCGTTGTAGAACCGAGACTGGTCGGCAGCGGCAGCTTGCTATGTATACCCTCGCCTGCGTGTTTCAACACATTGCCTCCGAGCTATGAATATTGCGAGACCTTTGTCGCTTTTAAACGCGGAGAGGGTGCCACAGTACGCTCGCCACGCGATGGGAGTATGTGCGCCTGTCTGCATGGCGCATGGCGCCTGCCATATGCGTCGTTTTTAACCTGTCTTACCTTGCCTTATAACCTTGACAGCCGACACGACACAAGAGCAGTCTTTTCGCCGTTGGAGACGTTTAAATGAACATATAAGCATACATGCACACCAACAGCAGACGGCACACGCGAGCCGGCCTTTCGACCACGCGGTACACGGCGACCACTAGAGATGCAGCGCACGAAATGCGGAGTAGGGCCATACAGGAGGCGGACAGAGCAGACACCGGTGACGCGGAAGCCCAGGAGTCAGTTGAGCCGCACACAAAGAGGGGGTGGGCGGGGAAGCTCGCGCGCCTGTTCAATTGGTGAGGCAACGGTGGGTAATGTCCGACGGGCAGAAGCCGCCCTCCCGATAAACGTCCGCGCGGCCGTAATCGAGGGCGCCGCCGCCGACGTCGTCGACACAGACTTTCCATTACGATCATCATCAGGCTTGGCCTGTTTATGATCCCACCTGAATAACGAGCGCAGCCATCAGCGTCGCAGGATCTCGCACGGAAAAGGTAGCTGGTAAGGACACAACGGCGATGACGAAGGCAATAGTAACTCATGCGGCAAATAACCCAGTCATAACCGAATCGCGCGATACAGCAGATTTGTTTTATCACAGGACATATAACCAAATTCGCTTCATCCATTTAGGTCTGAGAGTGCGTTAGCACATGCAGGCCATAAACTAGCGCATTTGTGTGGCCACTCGTACATCAACAGAAAACACCTGCGACGCCCAAGGATCTTGCCAACTACGCAGGCATGGACCAACGTGGCATTTAGGACGCTGCTGAACTGCTGAGCTGTCACTTGAGAACTGGTCTTGTCTACGACGCCAGTGGTATACAGTCACACTATGGCCGGTCTCGGTGGTTCTTTCGTCAGTCAGTCAGTCGTGGACCTGAGCGCCTGTCAGCTCGGCGAAGGACTAATAAGGAGCGACTAGCACTCTGTCGCCAGGTTAGGGGGCTGCTCAGCGCTACCACGAATACCCTGCTATACTAGTAGAGCAAAATTCTGCTCTATCCATGCAACACACGCCGCGTTCCGCGCGGTGGCCATGCTCATCAGTGCCATTCCAGTCTCCACACACGACCGGCACACGAAAACGCAGGCGGCCCGCTGCTCGCAAACGATGGAGCCAGCCGGCGTTGGCCACCAGTTTCGGCGGTCAAGGCGGAGCCGCCCTCCTCAAGACAGGACGCCGGGCCGGCGGGCGGGTGGGCAGGCCAGGACGGCGCAGGCCAGGTGGTGCAGTGACCAAACGGACTGGACGGCCCGGCCGACCGGCGGACGGGGGGGAGCAGCCGCACCGAGCAGGTCCACAGACGGCGGTCGGCGCCGCCCGCTGACGCCCCAGAGAGCCACACACAGACAGGCAGGCAAGCAGGCGGGCCAGGCGGGCGGTCGGGCTCCACTGGCGGCTCCACGCACGGGACCCGGTCCAAGCCGGGCAGTGCCCCACCACCACCCAGCGGCCTCGCGGACTGACCGCGCCACCCTTCGGTTCGCTGCCCAAGCGCCGCCCCGCTCAGCTGAGCCGGCGGGACGGCTGTTACCACGGGCAGGCCCACAGCAGCCGTATCGCAAACCCCGGCCAATCGGACCCCGGGTAAAACATTCAGCAACTCTAGAGATATTTGACAAATTAACATGTTCTTTGCATGCACAATTCGGCGCAACAGCCGATGATTAAAGCTTAATCACTCGCAACAATCAATGTCAAAGACAGGGCAAACGCTGATGTTGAAGAAGACCGCCCGCTGTTGCCGATCATTTTAGTACACAATGCTAACCGCACCCCGTGTTAGCCAAGCCGCGTACCACCATGTGAGTGAGCATTGACCACAGGGCAGTCTTCAGCCCAGCGCAACAGGCGCGGTAAACCTCAGCCACCAAGGCGGGGGAGTGGACGGTGAAAGAGAGACAGAGCGCAGCGAGAGAGAGAAAGAGCGGTCGGACCGCGGCCAGCGGGCCAGACAGCCAGAGCGAGAGGGAGGGAGAGGGCGCCGGAGCCAGAGCAAGAACGGTCCCACGCGCCCGTGTGAGCCCCGAGCGCCGCCGCCAGTGTGAGCCCAGCCGCCGCGCCCGCCTCGGACGCGTCTGTACCTGTGAAATAGTTGAGATTCCCACCTAGCGCCTGCAGGCCCTCCGAGATGGACGCGAAGATGTAGAGGAACACCGGCGGCTCGAGCGACGAGAGGAACGCCATGTGGTCCTGGCACAGACACTCCAGCAGCACGTAGTAGGACTGCGACAGCTTCGGGTAGTCCTGCAACGGCCGGCACACCGCGTTGACACTACGGAATAAGCCCTACAGCACGCCCCCGAAACATCGCAGTTGTAGCAGTGGTGTTAATGAGACCTTTCGGACGCTTCAACTGCGCGATCATACAGCGCCCATGGCGTACTATCCGAGTCATCCGATGACAGTCGATGTCTTTTGGAGGGAAGGTGATATACGATATCTGCTCCCAGCGTCACCCTCGACCCGGATCTGACGAGCCGAGCCACTCGGTCGACGGCCATCAAAAAGTTTTTGGTTTGACGTTTGGAATACTGGACTGGGGTCAAAATTTTGCAGCCTGAGCTTAGATAGTGGAGCGGCCAAGTTTTACAAATTTGCAGAGCCGCCATATTTCCGTTCATGCTTTTCAACTTTTGAACACGGGCCACAGGCTATGACATGAAATCACATGGGCCTCACTTCGATCATACAACAGGTCAAAGCAGGCGCGTCACTTCTCGAACGCTGCCGTCGACCCCCAAAGACCTTGAGTGGGGTGGACGAGTGAATCTTACTCAATCCTGCGAGGCTGTATATCAACGCCAACCAAACCATCGCCCGGCAGAGATAAACAAACAGCATGCCAAACCAACACCCGGCAATGAACAATCAGCGCCTCGTAAATCGTGACCAGCAGATGCAAAGACACCGCAGAAGTCGAACAGGACGGACACCTCGGGCGAACACGTAAGGACGTGCGCGTCAGCAGTGCCGCCGCCGCGTGTGGCAGAGTCTCGCCGCCGCGCGGCGAGGCCGCTCCCCACTCACCAGGAGATCGCTGTGCGGCACGGAGAGGAGGAGCTTGACAAACGTTCGCAACGCGTTGTCCAGCGCCTCGTCGCCGTACAGCCGGAAGCCGCCGAAGTTCACGTAGTTGCCGCACAACGCAGACTTCAGCATGGAGAAACAGATGCAGATGCCCTTCAGCCGGAGTGGATACACTTGGTCCTTGGACAGCTCCGGAATGGTCAGTATTCTCTCCCCTGTTGGCCAACCAGTCCAGTTAGCAATACCAGTCATTTCAGACAATGGTCTGCGCACGACGGCACGGCGCTGTCCCCGACGAGCATCTGTATTTTGCATACGTTTCTGGACCTGCCAGGCAAAGCGACCATTCGTGGCATATCCGTGGATGTACGACAGCACGTGCAGATTATCTGTGAATGTAACAGGAGTCGCATGGTTCACACGGCCGGGCTGCCACCCCCAGGAATGACGGTCCCACGTGTCCAGCAGTCTGCAGGCCGGCGGCCCGGCTGCCACCAACCGTATGTGCAGAGCAGCTTGGACATCTCGCGGAAGAGCAGGATGCCGTTCGGCGAGCTGACGTCGAACTGGAGCCGCTGAGAGCGGTTCTGTACCAGCTCGGCGAACAGCTTCAGCACGGGCGTAGTCAGCAGCGGCTCGGTGTACCACAGCTCGACGGCCCGGTGCAGGATTGGCGTGTACGCCGGGTAGATCCAGTCGAACAGCATCATGTACGACGCCTTGGTGTTGAAGGCGAACACCAGGCCGCGCAGGTCCCGCGCCAGCCCGATCAGCGCCTTCTTGGTCTCCTCGCCCTGGCGGCCAGCACGAGGAGAGGTTCAGCTGTGCCGTCCGCAGCGGACTCCAGGGGTCTCCACGCCGGCCGAGCCCGCGGGGCCGACCCTGCACGGGGCCGAGCCTGCACGGGGCCGAGCCTGCACGGGGCCAAGCCTGCACGGGGCCGAGCCTGCACGGGGCCGAGCCTGCACGGGGCCGAGCCTGCACGGGGCCGAGCCTGCACGGGGCCGAGCCTGCACGGGGCCGAGCCTGCACGGGGCCGAGCCTGCACGGGGCCGAGCCTGCACGGGGCCGAGCCTGCACGGGGCCGAGCCTGCGGGGCCGACCCTGCACGGAGCCGAGCCTGCAGGGAGCCGCCCCAGCGCAGGCCGACCAACCACACGGGCTCACCTGGAACATGTTGGCCTCGCTGGACATGAGCGTGCCGATGGCGTCGCAGGCGGCCGTTAACGGCTGCATGAACGTCTGGAACTTGTCGTCGTCCTCGCCCAGATCCACCATTAGCAGCCGGCCCAGCGACGTGTAGAACATGGTGCGACATTTCATCTCCTTGACGGCCACGCCGCCGCCCAGAAACGGGAAGTGGTCACTCTGTGGAGACCAGACCAGACGCGATCAGACGCCACACAGGGGCGCGAACAAAGAGCACTAAATCGCATTGCTGCAGCAGGGAATCAAGGCACTGGAATGCCCCACACCCACTACCAGCGTCATGCCCCAACAAGAACAGTACAATGCAAGCACACTTACTTTGGGCTTCCCCGCAGCTGATCACAGATCGAGCTAGCGCAGGCGCGACGGAGTCCTGTCAGAATGCCACACGGCCATTACACGAAGTGTCAGACCATTTCAAGAGACGTGCTCCCCACCGGTCGCCGGGGTGCACCGGGGCCCGCTCACCGTGTGGTTGTTGAGTAGGAACTGCACCTCCTCCAGCTTGACTAGCTTGCGCACGCTGCTGTAGCCGACCGACAGGTCGTTCAGCAGCATCAGCGTCCGTGACGTGATCTGCTCGCTGCCGCCCCAGTACTTCAGGTTCGTGATTCTGACGGCAGGTGGCAGCACATCCAGCCACAGCCTCGTGACACAACTGGCTGGCGTGGTACCGACGGGGCCTAAGCAGACAACTGCGCCAACGAACGTACTTGACGCGGCCGGGCTACCAGCGAGGCGTCACGACCATCCAATCAGTCAGCACTGGGCTACGCTAAAGCACAAGGCAAACAGGCAATTGCTGAGCACCTGAGCCTGACGCGAGTAACTGGAGTTCTGCACCAGCGGTGTGCGACATGTGTGTGTGACGTGTGTGCTTCCAACACAAAGCGAGGCCCACGCGACTATCACGCCCACTCACATTTTGCGCATGAACACGCTGAGAACAGTGGCCTCGTCGCTGAGACCCAGCACCTCGGAGAGGCGGCTGTACACCTTGGCCGTCTTCTGCACCTGGGGTCAGCATCGGGTCAGGTCAGGCCAGCGACGGGTGAGTGAGGCCGCTCCGCTAGTCCGGCGGTCAGCTGTGAGGCTGGGTACACGTCCGCGATCCCACGGTACCGCCACGGCCGATACCAGGCGCGATACGAACCGGGCCTTCACGTCTGCCCCCCCCCCCCCCCCCCTCCCCCCCCCCCGTCGCTCGCAACACATCTACTTTCCACTCGCAGATCTGCCTAAAGCGATCCATCCGTACCACTCTGTGCGCTGCACTGCCTACCTGATCCCCCACGTATATCTTCCTGAACTGTTCGAAGAAGCTGATGGTGGCCAGCTCGAGCTTCTCGCAGCCGCCCTGGTTCAGCCGCGAGTCGGTCAGGTTCATCAGCTGAAGTACCCTGCCGCGGCCGGAGATGCGGCGTCAAGCCCGACAGGCTCGAGAGGCGTCGTCGACACGGCACGGACGGCCGACACAAGGGGGGCGCGCCCCGCCAGCCGCCACCAGTGCCGGCCGACGGCCATTGCGCGCTGTCCACAGGGAACCACCACTCATTTGCTTGTATCATACATAATGCGCGCCAAATGACCGGAGATGTGGGCGCAGCCCAAATTCCAATCATCCTCACATCATGCACAGATGGTTTCCAAAGGTTAATATCGTTTTGGAATGACGGCCGAAATGACATTAAGTCTGTCCGCCTCGCCGATGATGAGAGGAGCAGACGCAAGGAAACGATCTGGCACGCCTCAATGTCACAGACGCACGATATGCACGCACAATCGATCGGCAGAAAATGTGCAGCAATGGCTCATTGCTGGTTCTAACGAGCCGAGCGACAGCAGAGGTGGGTGCGCGGCCGGCGGCGCCTCCCACCTGCAGATGAGCTCGCCGTCCATGCTGTCGTGCTCGTCGTTGGTGTTGAAGCTGACCCTACCCCCCACCGCCGAGCCGATGATGTACACGAGCCGAGTCAGCTGACCTGCCCACACAAGGAGAGAGCGCGCCTCAGGCCGCGGCGTGCTAACGACGCAGGCTCAACTATCTCAAAACAGAACGGCGAGACTTTGTCGTTTGGCCTCTAACTCGGGAGCTATCGGCGGCCTGTGAAACACCTTTTACTTAACTAGCGAAGAGACATCTTCTTACTTAACTAGCAAAGCGTGAAAATAGCCTGCAAACCCATGTATTTGAGAAATAAAAAGAGCTGTTTGAGTTCAGCGCTCAGATCGACGATTGAGCAGAACCCTTCAGATCGTGCCACAGCGCGTATACAGCGTGCACAGCAGTGTATAGTATATAAACCGAGACGCACATCGTTGCCCACGACGTGCCTGGCGGCGTATGAATTTGGGCGTTAAGCTTGCCGCTAAATGACGATCATTGCCAGACCGAGGCAGTCGGTTCCAGCCGGCTCCGTGTAATTTGAAACTGATCAGACCCGGGAACGGCGTTGACTGCCACGTGATAATCGGTTGCGAATGTGCCAGTTGTGAGAATACGGACACAGCGAAAATCACATTATGCAGTAACACATCTTTTGTCACGACAAAAGCCTTCAGCTCATAACTTTTTAACATTACCAGATCCCATGTCGCATATAACAATCGAGATTCAATATATCAGCCGCTGGTTGGGTGACGCTAGCAAGCAAGCAGTGCTATACATGATTGTCTTAAGCGAGCGTTGTCACTGGCGATCATGAGCGATGCCTCTAAACCTCCAGCGTTCTCATAACATATGCCAATGTGCACTTCATAACCTCATTTAATCAGGAAATCCTGGAAGGCCCATTTTTGTAAGATGTCAACTGATTATGTGTTATATATATATATATATATATATATATGTATATATATATATATGTATATATATGTATATACGTATAGATACATATATATGTATGTATATATAAACACGGGAAACAGGAGTGTCGGCGGTGCCACTGGGACTTATTTTCGGGATCTAGCTCGCACTTGTCCATATCCAGATCGGGTCGCGTCTGACCTGGTCACTCAGCGTACGACTGCTGCCGCCCGGAGTGTCCCTGCAGGGAAGCGGACCAGTGCTGCAGGTCGGGCACGGGACCCCACTGACTGGACACCTGATCAGGGAGCGATGCAGCGGGATGTGCAGACCTGTTTTGTGACGATGGCCATTAATGGGCAATTTGGACCCAATGTGATTTTCACAGTCGATATCTCACTGCTCGCCCTTGGTTTCTTGAAGTCCAACAACCGGCGATGCTTTTTTGGAAACTAAATGAACTGTGTTGCCCATGCAAATGGCTGGGGCTCCAATTAGCCGGACATTTCGTTGGATGTGGCCCAACAATTTAACACAAGCGCAAAGACAACTGCCCACAACATATGTCAGATCATTCGCGATTACGAAACCAAATCGGGCATTATCAAATCATTCCATGTGCTAAAAATTCTTTCATAACTCGGAATTCGCCAGGTTGTGGAGGAACTAGCAAATATGAAATGGTGTTTCAAACAATGTCAGCATTGTGGCGCACAAAACCATGGGCACAGGTCAGGGGCGCATGTGCATGGTATACGCAAACCAAGGATATCAAACAAATGTGGAATGTACACCAGACACCAAACAGCATGCATGGGAAGAAGCCCATGAGCTGCAGTGGTTGAACAGGGCCGGATGTGTTGCTGCTTACTGACTGGTCCGGGCCGGGTGTGCCGCTGCTTACTGACCCGGGCCGGGAGTGCCGCTGCTTACTGACCCGGGCCGGCTATGCCGCTGCTTACTGACTGATCCGGGCCGGCTACGCCGCTGTGTACTGACCCGGGCCGGCTATTCCGCTGCTTACTGACTGATTCGGGCCGGCTATGCCGCTGCTTACTGACTGATCCAGGCCGGGTAGGCCGCTGTGTGCTAACCCGGGCCGGCTACGCCGCTGCTTACTGACTGACCCGAGCCAGGTGTGCCGCTGTGTACTGACTGACCCGAGCCGGGTGCGCCGCTGCGTCCTGACCCGAGCCGGGTGTGCCGCTGTGTACTGACCCTCCTTGATGGCGATCTCCAGCCGGTTGGAAACGTTGAGGGCCTGCTGGTAGGCCTGCGCCGTCTCGTCGAACAGGCTGACCAGCAGGCGGCAGGTCTTCTTGTACTCGCAGCGGGCGATGGTGCTGATCTGGTCCAGCTGCTGCTGCACCATGCCCAGGTCGTCCAGCGGGTCCTCCAGGCCGTCCCTGCCAGCGGCCGGCGGCGCGGCGACGTCATATCTCACACGTGCTCCACCACGGCCACCGGCATCACGGCGCAGGACTGCGACACCGGCCTACTGTAGACTTTGGGCGAGGCAGGCGCACAGACAGGAACACATACGTAACAGGGTGTCTGCGGGACGTCCAGGCGTCAAGAAATTTCGGTCCAACTATCTGATGTCATTAATCGACTTCATCGCGGAGCTCCCGGCGGCCGTGCTTACCGGCACCAAAACCCACGTCAATCGTACCGACAGACCATCTCAGCGGGAGGTGAACTGTGACAGCCACGCTGTCCAGCGCGCTCCTCGGACCTAGCGGCCGGCGGGCGCTGGGCGCCGCGGGCCGGTACACGGCCGCCTCACCTGACCACAACGGCGGCTGCCTCCAGCCGGGAGGTGATGTACGCCTTGGTCACCTCGGGCGTGTAGGTGTCCAGCAGGTGCGGCTCCGACGCCTTCACGTACGGCACCGACGCCACCATGCGCTGCCACAGGCTCAGCAGGTAGTGCACGCTGTTGGGCGCGAACTGCCACATCTGCGGGGCCCGTGCGCTGGGCGTCAGTCGTGCACGCGCGCAGGTCACGCAGTAGGACCACGGATAAGACGCCACACAGCGTCCAGACCCGCCAACGAGTGCCCATAGAGCATGGAGTGGGTCTATCCCTGAGAAGGGGGGGGGGGGGGGCACGCACTGCACCACGTGCTGCGTCGATATCACTGATCTCACCGCAGCACAGCCGCCGGCCGACTGACATCAGGCTGTGGCACCACCACGGCCCCAGCGGCGTCTGCGCCGACACCGCGTCCACCCACCTGCAGACTCTCCACAGTGAACTTGGCCACCACGCGGATCACCCTCCGGGTAGTTGTCCACCATGACCAGCTCGCCCAGCTGGTAGTTGGACTTAAGCCGCGCCAATAGCCGGCAGAACTCGTGGTAGTTGTTGGCGTCCGTCAGGCCCTGCAGCGGGAAGCGCATGTCACTACCCCAGCCGTCGCGTTCACACGAGATGTACGGCGCTGTGACCCGACGGTGCTGGCCTTCAGCGCACCGCACAGGCCACCGCCACGTGCTCCGGGGTCACCTCCACATTAGACAGTGCATCTGCACGAGACGGCTGGTGATGTGCCCCACTGCAGAACAAAGAAACAGCTGTAGACAGCGCAACAGGTGTCGCCGACATCCAGGCGCAAAAGCCCTGAATAATATCACATTTGGCAGCATCTTCATGATAGTACTGGTGTTTTTATCCGCACAAAGCGAAGGTACTTTTCGTTCGTTTTAGTTAAGTTTAAGCCTAAATTGTTCCCAGTGACAGCATGTGGCTCCCATACAATCAGGCGCAGTATTGTAACAAAGCAACCCAGCATCACAGAGAATTAAAGCATGTTTTGCGTGCGCCCGGTCGACTGCTGGCAGACATGGAACTTAACCTGGTATCCCACCTGCGGGTTAAGCAGGACGTTTTTGACGCCTTGTACTAGATGGTTGAGAAATTTTGCACGCTCTTGATTATTGAATAACGACCGTCGCACGGAAGCGATTTGCACTAAACACGACAACGCCTGAAACAAAGAAACAACACACGTCATTGCCGAAGCGCCATAGCACGGATGTTGGGACTACCATGCACAACGCAACAATGGTGACACTACAGCTATCACCAAGCAGTACTTTCTCTGGAACAGCTACATTCCGTGTCAATTTCGGGGGTGCAGCGACACGCTGCATATTGCAAGTCATTCCGTGCTACAGTCCAGGACGCGTCGGCCAGCTACCACAAAACTCAGGTCGGCAGCCAGTCTCGAACCCACAGCTTTCCGTAAACGGCTGCATGCGAACTGTCAACCCGCTGAGCTAGGCCGTCCGCTGCTTCGACCGTGTTCCCTTATCACGGCTTTGGGAACAGATATCACATTTTGACATTTTCAGCACTGATGCCGAATATCAGGCAAAGCTTAAGCTCATTCTTTTTAGGCTAAAATGTCATTTGTACCACCGAATGAAATAAATACCGCCGGACGGACGAGCAAAATGCACGTTGTCAGAACGCCGAGACATTTACACGCCATATACAACATTATGATGCGCGCAGCTGGGCGAGATCAATCGGTAGATCGCTGGGTGTGAGGCCGAAAACTCAGCTGCTCTCCGCGACTTCCAATGATAGGGACGCCCTCACATCCCAGCCCAACAACAACGCCAAGGAGGCCACCATACACCCTCACCCCCGCTAGCCACGGCTGGGGGTGGACGCCACTCACTAGCGAAGACAGGGAGAAGGGCAGCGCGGCGTAGAGATCGAAGAACAGCCTGAGTGTAGCGGCGTCGCGGAAGGCCGGCCGCCACGCAGTGGGGATCTGCACCGTGCACAAGTCGTCCGACGACTCGTCCGTGGACGTGCCGATGAAGTCGAACATGAGGCAGTTCTGCGACAGCCGCAGTAGCTGCGTCATCAGGCCGTGCTGAAACACGCAGACGGAGGCCGGCGTCACGCACGCTGCCAGGCAGGCGCGCGCCTCCTCCGTCACGTCCGGCACGCGAGCGGCAGCCGGCGACCGGCCGATCACGTACAGCTCCGCCCTCCGCCTCAACAGCCGGCACCCCTGGCCCCCTGTGGCCCCGGCCCGAGCGCTGGCGGCCCCGCAGCCGGCCGGCGGGGTCACGCTCACCTGCGCCGAGTCGCTGAAGTCGAGGTTCTTGCAGTTCTCGAGCGCGGTGCGGAGCAGGGTGCAGCTGAGCTGGAACACCTCGTAGAGGCACGTGTCGCGGAACGAGGCGGCCGTCTTGCGGTGCCGGTTCAGGGAGCGGATGGCGTCCGGGTCGGTCAGCGTGTTCATCTCGACCGTCAGCTGGGAGAGCAGCTGGACGCCGATCATGCAGTGCTCCACCGATCCCTGCCGCGGGGGCCGTCGTCAGCTGACCGTCGGTGACGCGCCGCCCGCCGGGCGCCGACGCAGGGCACACGCAGCCCGACCACCCGGACACGGCACGCTGTCAGATGCACCCGTAGAAGCTGGCACGAGGACAACGTAAGTGGGAGGAGCTCCTGTGCAGGGAGAGCGTCCAGCGCTCTGGACAGCGCGCACCAGACCGCCTCGTCCCGGCAGTTCAGAACAAGGACCGCGAGCGCACCCACCCACCTGAAGAAACACGGAGACATCTTCGATGACGTTTCTGAACACGAAGTCGTCCTTGGCGGCATCGAACCAGCCGAGCTTGGTCAGACGCCCGAACAGTGTGACGAGAGCCTGCACCACGAAGTTCTCCATCTTGGGCCGGGTCGCCAGATAGTTTAAAATGTAGTTCCCTGTAATGGTAATGTGCATGACAACATGCTGACTGTACCATCTGCAGTGCATGGGCAGATGCCTTGAGGATGGTATTGTGTCAAACCAGATATTGCCATCATATCATGGGATTAAGTATTTTAAAGACTAACCACATAATGGACAGACAGCAGCACAATGTCAAGATTAAACATATTCAATGAACAGAACAATATCATACTACATAGGAATGGTAAGCACAGTTTTGAGTTTAGATGTTTTTTACATGCTTTACAACTTATATTTTGCAGCTGGTTGTGAACTCATGGAACTGTTTGAACAGCCTGAGCTACTCCTATGATTCTCCTCTAATTTGAGTGGAGCTTGGCATTATCAAGCACATTATGCTATGACTGCAGATGCTTTGGACATTCTTATCTAAAATATAAAAAATACAATCTGCTCTAAAGCCATGATTGCAATCTGCCCCATGATGAGGAACCTAAGTTGTGTTCTACAAGCAGAAAACTATGATAATAAGGCTGTCTCACCTCATAGGATTGTCAACAACTTAAGTGCTGTCACCTCGGGGTTTTGTGTTCAGTTACAACACTGTAGACTAAAGCACTACCACAATCAGTGTAATCACCTCCTATGGGCCAGGTGTTCACAACAAAGCTTTCTAAAACTACAGCAGTGAAACAAGACAACTCCTGGAAACATGGGATGTAGCAAATACACCAGAAGCTTAGGGTGCAGTTTGTCATATTTTTAACCCAAGAATGCCTTGCAAACTTCCAACTCCTGCTGGCATCAATGATGAAGAATATCTCATTAGCACTAGCCGGCACTGGTGGCAGCACATAGCATGTCCTGGTAATGCTATTTCTTCACGACACATATTACTCAATAAATATGGTGACATCAGTCATAGCTGGCAGCAACTGGCTGATGGTATCTGTCAGATCATTTCAATGGACTAAAATGTCTTGGCCCCACCTACCATTGGCAATACTAGCAGAAACTTTGTATACACAATATATATATATATATATATATATATATATATATATTCCTGAAGTCAAAAGGCAGTGAAGCATCCTCATCAATGCAACACAAATGCACCTCTGGGAAAAGGCGGCTAAAGGTGAGTAGCAGAAATTGTGGCACAGGATCCTTTTTGTAACAAAGCTGTTAAAACCAGTAAGTACCATGGGTGGTATAGTTATGAGTATCAGACGAATCTGAAAGCTGAACCCCAATGCAACATCACTGCCCTATATTCATCTATATTATATTGTGCACAAGACTGCAGCAACAACTAATAATAAATCAGGACTTCTAAGTTTCCATCAATGCATGCTGGCATCAATTTGCCAAAATTAGTAAAAACTCAATTGTGACAGAATCTGGTTTCAGCTTCATTGAAAGACCATCTCCAGCCACATCTGAAGTAATTACTACTGCATCTCAATCAGACACATATGACCATTTAAGGATGTAAGATAACTGTGCACACCTCATTATCAACTATTAATTGGCTATTTCCATTACAAAACCAACACACATACCACACTTATAATAGCATTCTTGCAGGGTCAGGTCCAAGCTGGACAAAGGGAATGATCACACTGCCACACTGAACTGTATAGCCCAAAAGGAAATGTATCACAGATGCAGGGAATAGTCACAAAGAATTGTGTGTAAGGGATATCCAAAGAACCCCAGGAAAGCTCTTCTGTAAATAATGCCACCACCCCAGCATTATAGGAGCATGGCAGATGACCTTAAATTAACTGAGGTAGCTGAGGTAACTGAGCATCTTTGAAAAGTAGACTAATTGAAGAATGAGCCTTACAAAACAAATACTTGGAAATGTATTAATGTCCTAAACAAAAATGGAACAACCCAAAATATCTCAGCAAATTAAGCCAGTACATTAGATTCCTTTACATGGTTTTGACACAGTCCACAACCAGAATCAACATGCTAAATTGCATGTGTTGCAAGTTGAAAACAACTCCCACCAAGGTAGATATTAGCTCCCAGCATAATAAAACCCTATCTAGCTTAATTACTGAGCCATTTTTGGTGAAAAAACAAGACCTGAACAACAAAATGATGGTGAGGTAAGCATCAACACAAATTTTGTCCAGCTCTTTCAAAACTACATAGCAACATGTATCATTGCAGTCAGAAACAATAGTACAGTATACAAAACCATGGCAAGAATGGCAACAAGATACTTGGAACTGCCTAAATCTTGTTCCATATTGCCCCTCTTTTAATACTTGGCCCCAACCATGCCCAGACATGACCTTACCTAGGTCAACCACAATCTGTAGTCTAGAAAAATCATTCACAACTGCCACCACCATGCAACTTACTCATGTCAATTCTTTGCTGAAGAGAGATGGACTGCACATTTCTGGTCACCAGCTTTGTCAGGGTTGTGGCAGCAAGCAGCTGTGAGTATGGAGAGTCAGCTCTCTGAAGGAGTAGCTGACATTTGTTCAAAGTATCAGGAGCATTTTGAAACTGAACCAGTGTTTTTTCTGCTTCTGCCCTCTGCAGTGGATCTGTAGATTCGTACAGCCGTGTACATAGTATCTCTAGTTGCTGCACTTGCTGTAAAAAACAGAGACAGACATCAATCAATATGCATAATGTCATTTGTAGAGCGCAAATCGATGGCTAGATGCCGACATATTCAAATACGACGCAATAGAAAAATGCATTTTTGGCGGGATATACCAATAACTAGGTCACAATGAACGTCCCATGAAAAGGCAAATACTTGAATCAATAGCCGACGTTTATCTTGCCTACCATGTTTGAGTGAAAAACTAGTAAAAACACGTATCGTGTGGGATATTAACCAGTACCTGCTCCTCGTCCGCCATTTTCGGCTGTTTATTTTCCGTCTAGTGACGAATACTATCAGAAGTCGGATCAAGGTAAATATCAAACAATATCAACCTTATTTCAACATGTTACAAACCTGAAAAGGCACTCCATAAAATCGTACGGCATACTTTGTAAGTCATCAAATTACGTTTGTTGTTGAAATATGATATCCACACATCTTATTTCTTACAGTCGAGACCCAAAACGCACATCGACGCACTATGGCGATGTATTTATTTAAGTCGCGAATTGGTTTTGGCGGGTTTTGGCAGATCGAGCATTCATTTTCAAGCTCGCTTCATTACGGTCGAGGCCAGGAGTTAAGCCAGTCTTTCTTGAACAAGGAGAAGACTTGGGCCACCAAATCCGTAGGGGCAGAGGCAGTGGCGTATTTATAGGGTAAGGGCGAACCCAGTCAGTATTGCTCTTGGCTCAAGCCGGGCCCCAGACGGGGGACTGGGTCCAATGACGCAGGCATCACCCATGCGGCCCGAAACGACTGTTGGCGCCGATGATTAAGGGCCCGAAGGGCTGACCAGAGCTCACATTTGGGGGGCTTGGCCCTGCGGGCCGGACCCTCGAATGCCAGTCAGAGGGCCCTTGCGCCACTTGGGTCCCTGGTGCCACTTGGGCCCCTTGTGCCACTTGGGCCCCTCGTGCCACTTGGGCCCCTCGTGCCACTTGGGCCCCTTGTGCCACTTGGGCCGCTAGTCGGCGAGAGCCTCTTTGTTGGTCAGGCACCACCAGTACCGAATTGTGGGCTCTGTATCGGCCTCAGCCGGGGGCCCCGTGTTGGCAAGTGGCCCCAAGTCGGGGGATTATCGCAGCACCTAATGTTCGTAACCACTAATGTATCATAATATCTATTGTTCGAAACACCTAATGTATCACAACTACTAATGTGTTATAACATCCAATATATCACAACCCCTAAAGGGCCCGAAGGGCTCGAGGGCTGGCTGCAGGTTACAGAAAGAACGGCCCCCAGCCATAGGACCGTGACCTGAAATGTCGGTCAGAGGGCCTCTTGCACCCTTTGGGCATCCACTGGCACAGCGCATTCCTTTCTTTCGGCTAGAGACCACCAATACTGAACAGCCGGCTCCGTTTCAGTCTCATTTCCCGAGCAGGAATAAGGCTGGGCCGGGATTTGCATTGGCCGGGGTCCCCGCAACAATGAGGGACTCCTGCGTCGGTCAGGGGTCCGCAGTGCCTTACTGGTCGACAAGCGGCAACGAGCCCAGGGAACGTTTGCCGGACAGGGACGGAGGCGGGACCCCGCATGTCAGGGGTACTCTTTTGTTGGTTACTGCGTTTCAGCATTTCAGTATTTTTGCGTTTCAGCCAGGGGCCTGTTAAGCCGAAGTGAAGTATCTTTGCCAATTATTGGGCCCCTACGGCGATGGGAATCTTGGTGCCGCAATGAGATCTCCTGTGTTCATCCGGGGCCAGCTGCGCGGTTCAGAAGCCCTCCCGCGTCAGGAAGGGGACCAATTTTCCGTATATCCCTTTGAAATCCTCCGGATCGGCTAGGGGACCCGCCTCCGTGTCGCTAAAATGACAGCCGGTAGGTGTGGCGCGTTGATTTGGCGCGCGGCGTGTTTATCCGCCGCGGGCCACATGTTTTTTTTTCCAATGCGTGACCAAGGCTTTTGTTTGTGAGGTTTGGTCCGGGCGCTCGTTCCGAACATGCGCGACAGGATGATCAGTAAGGGACGGCCAGTTAAAAACACCGACCCCCTCGGAGTATGGACACGTTACACAGTACGTCTACACGTTCGACCAGTACATGGACACGCTCAGACAGAACATCGACACTGAGAGTCGGCGGTCGGGGGACATTGACACGGACGCGGTGATGAGAGACGATATCGGCCTGGCGCGCCGACGGCCGGACGCTCGGCGCCTTAACCTCAGCAAAATGTCAGCCCGGCGCGGAAATGGCTAACCTTCCGGTGATTCCAAGACCCCCGCCTTTTTATCATAGACGATTAAGAAGGCACGTTCTGTAGGGATGTTGAGTTTACGTACCTGTACATTATTTTTAATTTGTTGTATATTGTGGAGTTTTTTCGCGCTTGTTTTGCATCATAGGTCACTAGTGTTTCTAATACACAACTATGTAGCTAACGTATTGTTAAATGGTGTGCCGACTCCCGCCTGGTATTGCTTTTGCGTCTCAACTGAACATTCTCTTGGAAAATAGCAGGCCAGTAAAAGATGTGCGGTCTGATTTTGTACCATGAGAGAGGACGTGGCATGGTCAGGTTCATGCTCTCGACGTTAGTATCTCTATCTTGCATAGCTCGTATACCGCGTGCAGCTTGAGACGACTGTGAGTTTTCCACGAGTGTATTTAAAGGCTTTTGCCACCACGGGTTAAATGCGTCACAAAGGCCTTGCGTTATGACTCCTTGCGCAGAGCGATGGAGAAAGTCCTTGTCTTGTTGTCTAGTTGTCTAGCCAGTGGGTCGGTGGGTTGAAAAGTCTCACTCCCTACAACAGTTGGGGAGTTGGCTGTTGGTCGATCTCTCTGCGACTCACAGATGAGGGCTAGCCGCTAGTCAGAGTAGTGGTGGCACGTGTAGGGTACCGTTGGCGGATTCGCGGCTCGTCGAACGTGGAACTTGCTTTTCAGCGGCCTTCTTACAACTCCCAGGAGATGGATGTCGGGAAAAGGCGTTGGGCTGTCGGAAAAGTTGGTTGATTTTTTCCGTTGATGGATTGACATATGGCCACAGAAGGGGGTTTGCTAAGATGACCATGATTCACTGACCCTTAGCAGCGGCAGTGAATTCGGTCACTGGGGGTACTGTTGTCAGAATTATTACAGCGAATCCAGAAGGCGAGGTTCGCACATATGAGCCGATGAGAGATTCCGGCGTGCCAATGTGGGACTCTGGCGACAAAGTATTATGAGCCGAGTTGGGATTCCGGCGTGCCGACGAGAGATTCTGGCATCATTCAGTAACGATAGAGGGTGGGGCTACCTGTTGATGCCCCGGTGAGTCTTGCACCAGGCGGCTACGTATTACTGGGACTAAATTCCGAGGTATACGTGGCGTATGACTGTACGGTTCCGCTCATAGTTGATGGGGTCTGATCGCTGCACATAACTTGCAGACTGTGTGTAGCGACCGCACTAAAGGCCTCCCTTTAATATGACCGGCACCATTTGCAGTCGCCAGTTTCAGTCGGCTTATGACATGGGATTGCCTCGATGGTAATTACCTACGGGTCAGTGCAGTATGCCAACTAGTCAACAGCCGCCAATAACAATCACATGTATATTCAATGTAAGCAAATATGACTTTTGCTGGCAGACCTATTACTTCAACGAGCTTTTTTCGCGAGGTTGATTATAAGTGAGTGCAGCCACCATCTTAAAAAAGATATGCATAACATTATATATTACACAACGTCATGTTCGAGTACGTAACTTCAAAACCATACAGGAGCTTACCATATACACTTACCAAAAAACCATACACACAAAGCCTGGGGTCAGCCATGGCGCTTGTCGCATTTATTCAAACTGGGATTTGGGAATCTCGTGATTGCCGTTTGGTGTCGGTGAGAAATCCGTCGAGTGAGCGTGGCAATATTGCTGGAAAAAATGAGGAGCCAATACTTCCAGTTACGCGGAGGGCAAAACAAAGTTGAAGGAAACGACGACGATATAACCGAAAAATCCCCCGTGTAACATAAGTACCTCGCACTGGAACGGAGTAGCCCTTCAAACCTTGACCAGGAACCAAAATGTGCCTCTAGTGTTCTACTCACGGGCCCTTGCCCGGAAAAAGTAAGGGGTCATATGAGTGTTTAATAGAGTAGATCAAAATGAGGTAAAAATGGGGCAAATATCTACCCTTGCTTGCCTGAGAACGGTCATGCTTATGCACAATCGGCTAGTGACAAAACTAAGTCCTGTCCTGTCCAAAATGTCCTGACCTCTCAAGGTCGCCCTTCAAGATCAAACGAAGGCCCGAATGTCGGGGAGCTCCTCGTCGCCGAAAAAAATACCGGCCAATGTAAACTTTTCAAACACCAGAATACTCATCACCGCATAAACTTCCGTCCGTCAAAAAGTCAGGCTTGTTTTGTCTCTGAATGATATCATCGTCAATTTCGTCCCTAAGTTGTTACCATCGAGCCTTTGAACCACTGTGAAATAGATCCCTGGGGTCCGGTGCTGGTATTTTTTCCAGGCTTCAGGAGCCCAGCGGAGCCCTGCGGAGCTTTGAGCCTTGCTTGGCTAAGGCACCAGCCTATTTGTTTCCGTTTTTGGGCGTGACCAGGTAGAATAGGAGAAAACAGCACGTTTCTTATCCTGCTCCAAAGTAATTAATGAGTGTAGTATTTTGAACGAGTTTGTGCTTCTGACTGGCTTGCTGTGTCTCTTCTATAGTGGTCAAAGAACCGGAAAAAGACGAATATAGGCTCGTCGCGCAGGTGCAAAAGCCGCAGCGTGCTTGAGGAAGTGGTGCAGAAAATTTCGCGTGCTTCGTTTCATTTAATTTCTACGGAGCACCAGCAAATCTTTTAAAGGCCATAAATGTCATCTATCAATCGGACACCGGTTTTTAAGTTGCGCTACAACATGAAAGCATCAAACTTGTGCGATATGTGTGAACAGTGCGAGATGCATTTGGTTTTAAGACTACTAAGTTGCAGCATGTCCCTCATGTAACCTGAAGAGACCCCATTTGATCCATTTATTATCTCTTTTCGAGCTCGTTAGTTCTCATTCCTGGTCGCGTAGAAGCTGTGTAAACTTAACGCTCTGTACGGAGACGTCTGGGGTAGCGCCTCCAGAGGGGCAGGAAGTCAATTGCCCTCCTGTCATTTGTCAAGGGAGTATTATAGCCCCTTCCCGTCCATTCTTCGCAGTGTGTGGCCTGACCCGCAAGAACCCATTCCTTGTGTCGTCAAACTTGATCGCCTTCTCATGACCCTGCACGCCAGATCAGCCACAGCTGCATGCAATTTTAGCTCGCGGCATGGGC